CATTTACATAAAATAGTTTCAATATATATATTTAAACATTCACATAATATGTGAATATATGTAAACCCCTTTAAGCGTCACCACGCGCATATAAAAGCTGAGTTAGCGTCCCTTTAAAGTAGTTTTTCGTTCAACTTCACGTGGCCTGGTCAACCCAGTCCTCGGACGTTTTTTGATTTATTAACTCTTGGCTCAAGCGGACCAATATATGAGCAGCTTTGCCATTTTGTTGAGGTTACATTTTTATAGTTATGGGCGAAAGAATGAACAATTTTGCACAGTGTTAATTGATTTATAATCGTCTAAGTTAGAAAATATTCTTAACGCTGTTAGAACGAACGCCCACCTTTTAGATTCGAGAGCCTTGTGCTGTTAATCAGTTCCTTTTCTTTGTGTATTCTATGATCGAATCTTATTCAGTATCTTAGCGTAATATTTATGCCGGTTATTTTCTGATGTCTTGTTAATCAATTTCGTGGTGTTATCGACTCGAAATCGTTCGCTTGTCTCGTGTAAGATTTGATCTTTTATTACGCAACCTTTTCCGATAAACTGATAGAAATTCGTTCCATTGATTTTTCCAGTTTGCGATCGTTTATTTTCATGCAATAAATCGCCGATTCCCGTCAACTTTGGTTTTCCGTGCAAGCGGCAAGTTTTGTTTCGGCTCCATTAGGAACTTGGCAGTCGCTGCAAGCGCATCAACGTTGTTTAAATGGGATAACTCACAAATGAATTACGACCAGCAAGAGATTATGTTCCAGATCATAATCTCTTTCAACCAGATATAGTGTTTTTTTCCGATCTAATTTTATTCGTTCCTTGTTTACCTTGTCGTCTGACAAAGAAAACACGGTACAAAGGTTAGTCTCGGCTATGTATTGAAAGCCTATATATTTGGTGACAGATTTGGTGAGCACAGACGTGCAATCGAAAAAGCCATCACACAACGACAAATTGATCTACTTCTGGACCCGTAGTTTTCTTCCAGAAAGTATGTGTTCGTGATTTAAATGATTAAACTTAGAACATATGACGATGAAGTATACTTAATTAGTGAAGCAAAATGCGAAGAATTAATGAATCCATGCAGCATTGTGTCTGAAAGAATCGCAAAGCCACGATTGCGTCATTATCTCCTTACGAAAGCACCGCTGACCGATTTTTCCTCGACCGTGTAAAAGAAGAAAATGGAGGTGACTGTTTTCTAGAATCATCGAATGGCAACTGCCATTCATTATCGGCCTGGTTGGAGCGCATAACTGTGTTTTTCTCTCCATACATTTAGTTCCGAAAGAGAAAATTTCTGATCTAAATGGCCCCCATCTTGTTTGGAACATTCATCATACCTACCTTACAGTAAATCCTCGAATTAGCGCCCCTCTCCCCTCCCCCCATTTTGTGGACAAGTAATAAGACATCAAAGGATGTATAGTTTTCGTCGTGTAGTATTAGATTTGTACATTATTTCAGTTTGTGAACACGTTAAGTTTAGAAAAAAATTACAAATTCTAACAATGCCGCGATTTAAACTTCAGGATCAGCTTTTTATGTCGATAAACAGATTATGCTGTTGTTTACGCACAGATGATATCATGTCAGGGCACGATTTGGGAAAAATAAAATAAGCACCCCCCGCCCTTGATTAAGTGCTCCCCTCGAATAAGCGCCCCCGCCTTCTCCTAAATTTGAAATATGCGCCCTAGGCGCTAATTCGAGGATTTACGGTATATAGCTTTCAGAATCCACACAATGTGTTTATAATTCATATTTGAAACATCCAGAAAGTAATGCTGTCTCAACATTGTAACTTTTTTATTCTCATTTTTCCTGCTTATTTGCCGCCATGAGCCTATCTTACCTTGGTTTGTAATGTTGATAATTTTATTACGCCGGAATAGGTCTCAATTTGCGTTGAAATAAAGGATTAATCTGAAAAGCCTCCATTTTCAAGGTCGAAGAAAATAAGTCAGCAGGCAAGGTCGAGAGACGATGGCGCAGTTGTAGCACGTAGAAACGCTGTATTTTTTACCTTTTTACTATTCTTTCCTTGAAATTGTTATTTTAGGCAAAATGCAGCGTGAATTTGTTCATTCTTCGCATTTGTCCTTCACTAGACTTCATTGTCGTATAACTTAAATCGAGAGTTCATATTTTCTCGAAGAAAAATAAAGGGTCCAGAAAGGGGTCCAGATGGGAGTCCAGAAGGGGTCCAGTAAGGGGATCCAGATGGAGGGGTTGACGTTTTGTACTGACCCCACTCTAACGTTCCTGCCCATTGTATGAACAACTTAGAACTGTTTCCTCTCAACTCATCAACTCAAGTAGGGATGCTATTCGCAAGGCAAGAGAAGCATTTCGGATGTTCAAGGGCAGGACCCTAGAACCTTCTGGGTTAAACAGGCGTGACGAAATTCAATCTATTTATTTTTTATGTATCCGCTTTTGCTCACGTTTCCTTTCTCTATTTTTGTTAACCAATCATGTCAGATATTTCCTTAAGTATCATTTAAAATTTTGTAACCGTTTTATCCATATCTACTTAGCTTCAGTGTAGCCTCTGAAGAAGGTTAGTTCTGTCTAACCGAAATATTGGGCATTAAATTTACCCTTTTCAGCCTTCCGGCCAGTCTTTCAATTGGTTCTATGTTAATGTATATATTTTTTTCCAGATCGGTTCCATAATTCCTGTCATAATGCTCAATTTTCTTTTGTTTGCAATTGGTTTCCCGAGCCGGGGGTGGAAAATTAATAGCACAAAATGAATATGTTTATCGCGGTCTATAGGCTCGATTTCTATTGCCACACCAGCGAGCAGCTGGTGGGCGAAGTCCATGTTGGTGAAAGTAGACGAGTAAATCCTGTAAATTTCAATCGCTTGGATGTCTGCCACACTTACTTAGCAAGGTGCTTCTGTCACTACCAACTGTATCGTCTTTGCTAGAAGATACTTACGCTGCAGTTTGTCGTTATGCATTAGCCGTCTGGATGGATAATGCACCCTCCAGTATATAAACAGCCAATATATATCAAACACTTGGGACTGAGAGT